TGAGATACTAATATTTAGATAAACAAGTACAATATGCGTACTTTTACAAAGCTATCCTTCGATACTATTAAAGCGGTAGATTTCTTTAAATTCTAGTAAAAACGGTTATAATTCCTTTTAAGTATATAAATACCCTAATAAAGTCGAAAAGGTTCCTACTTTAATACGAATTATAAAAACGTATCTTTAAGTTCGCCCCCTATAAATTATATTTAATTTAGGTAATTATAGAGTAATAAAGAATTTATTATATAAAATAACCTATACATATCCCCTTCGACGAGAGAACCCACCGCTTTCGTTTTAAATTCGCTTTATAGTTTGTTAGCCTTACCCTATTCGAATAGGAGTTTTGGATTTGGAGCAATAAAATATAGGTAATTAGTATTAATTTAGGTTATTAATTTATTACCCTCTTTAAAGATAAAAAAGTAAAAGACTTTACTAAAGTTAAATAGAAGGTATATAGCTGGATGTTTTGGGCTTACTTTATAGGTAGCTAAAAAAATACTTTTATTATTTAAAATAAGAAATAGGGGAGGATTAAGAGTATATTTTATTAATAATATATTTTTCCTCTTTTATTATAATTTTAGTAGTAAAATCCAAATTATATAATTTAATAAGATAATACCCCTACCTATAGCTTAAATTTAATATAGGTATTTATAGCTTAGACTTTTACTAGTGCAATTATCGTCCTATAGCTACTATATTTATCCAACCTCAACCCTATTAAACATATTTGGAGTTGGATAAAGAAGTGGATTGAGTGTGAATATCTAGTACAGCCGATTGGGAATAGCTTTAAATCTGCTGTACTATAGGTTTGGGAAGCCGTTCCATAAAATTACCTTTTATAGTTAGTATACTCGATGCTTAGAAGAATTTAGGTAGTTATCGAGGCGAAGGGAGGGTATATTCAATACTAAGAGATATATCGGTTACAAAATAGTATTCGGATTACCCTGGTTTTAGTATGGTAAATGCAGTGATTCTCCGTAACTCTTTTCTTCCTGTTCAAAATCTCTAGGCTCTATATGTGTATTTCTATTAGTTTTATTCCCTGTAACCCCCCTTGTCATTCCCCTGTCAAAAACCCCTGTAAGTACCGAGCCAACGAACTTTCCAGGGGTGAACTGTACACGATTGATTTGGCAAAGCAGGCCGGGTCTTGAGCGGGATACTGCCCCTGTGCGCGGGGCAATTCCACTACACTAGGTACCTAGGTAGCGTACTCTGCACCGTGAACAGTTCGACTGCGCTTCCCTTCAGTTGCCTTCCTGGAAGCGGCTGAGACAGGGGCACGCTGGTTGCTGCCCACAGGAGCCAGAAATCGTAAGCTCCGCTATGACGTCGCTAGTCCCGTGCATGCAGGAGTTCGCACGACTTTAACACAGTGCCGGGCAGGGTAGGGGGGGTCTGAGGGGTCCACCGGACACTGCAGTGAACCGGGTACTTACGTCGTAGCGGTAGGTTGTACATTCCGATATCAAGCACCAACTTCAACACTGCATGTTGTCTCCAACTTATGTGCGCTCCAGAATCGCAAAGTAGTCACGGAAGCCTACGAGTTCCCGGGTTTTTTTCACATCTGGTTTCTGGTGAAATGTTGCAGAAGCTTGAATCACGCGGCTTGTATGAAGTGCCTTCTCAATCTCAGAGTCACTCATGTCTTGTTTCCATGTAAGGGATCGTCGTCCGACACCCCCCCTTTGCAACGAAATCTCCGGACAATCTGTCGCAAATCTCGACAAACCTGGCGGTGACTGCTGCAGATGAGACGGTCTCCGGGGATCTAGAACGTCTTAGCTCTGTCCCAAAATCAAGGTTACGATTGATGAAGGTGGACAATTCTGGGCATTCTGGGCACAGGCCCGTCCCAACCATCCTCCTTGGAGGTGTGTTTCCTGGGTCGGATCCCTAGAGGTAGAGTTACAGGTTGAACCACGCTGTCGACGACTCGGAACATACAACTTCCCAGCACGTCCCAACGGGCTGCTAGCTTGACTCAACATGCGGAAATGGCGCCATTCCGCCCCCATGGTGCCGCTGAAAGCCGTGAGCGTTTAGCATCCCAGATTTTACTGTGCCCTCCCGTTCTGGATACACTACTTGTAGGCTGTACACTAGTGTAAATTGGCCCTGTAATTGCTCGGCCATCCTGAGACATCCTGGGCTGAGTACACCTTACCGCCATCCACATGTCGCGAACACCATCTGGATGGTTGGGTAGCCTAGAACGGAACAGCTGAGGAGGGACAGGACCCCTAAAAATCCAAAAATGGTCCCCATGGAACGGGAATCCAGGCCTGGCTCTGCCCCGAATGCACCGGCTCGTACTTCTCGTGCTTCTATTGCCGTCGAGCTATCGATGCCAATTCCACTTTCATGCAAGTCCCCTTGGCATCCCCTCCAAACTCCAGACACAGGATCGATGTTTTTGAATGAGCTGCGCGGATATCTCCAGTTTTCCAGAACCAGATCGCATTTTGTCCATGTGCCAGAGGCCGGGGTCGGCGATTCAACTGAGATGTCTTGGCTTGCTCCACATTCAGACATCTCGTGATCGAAAAGGATAACAAAAGGGATCCATTTGCCGGAACCGATGTTGGTTCCGGGCAGCAGACATGCCACGCCACAGGATGAAGCTGTCGATGACAGTCAACGGCGGCAGCGTGGTAAAGACAACCACTGTGAGAAGCCCAACAGGTGTACAGTCAGGATCAAGAACCACAGCGAACCTGGCAAAACAGGACATCAGTCGCATCTCGATGGGTACCTAAGCACATTGTAGACCATGGATTCCACTTGGTCTCGGTGCATGTAGCGTGCCTGACATGCAACTGCTGGAACTGTCAGATGGTGCTTCAGTGGCGCGATCGTGGGAAGGAACATGGGAACGGGTTTCCTCGTGGCCAGGAGGGCAGGACCCTGATCTGCCTGCTTTTCAAGCAAGGCACGATCCCCAATGCCCCTCCCTTTCCAATGCCTTACACTACTACGAAAAAACATTTCATCTGCCTCTGTGGAAAGCTTGCAGTGTGCGAGTGCCGCGCTAGTCAAAGCGGACCAAGCAGTGCATGCCACCTCAACGGGTTCGCTGCCCCACGACACGCCAAAGCCATCAAGGTTTGGGATCATTCACACCCTGATCTCTCCTGAAACAGCCTTGGGCGGACATAGGTGTGTATTGGTACCTATGATAGTACCAAACAACGGAGCCAACGCTCCATCCAGACTCGACCGTCTTCCATGAGGTCAACGAACCCGAGGCCGCCGTCTCCCGTTGGGCTTTCCGATGACCAGATCTTGCTGTCGACAACAAGAGAGAATTGTATAGAAGCAGTGGGAGAGTTAGCTCGGTGGAGCGGATGCGACTTTTTGCTCTCTCGAGTCCAAGTTTTTGGACGTTTCGGTTGTAGCGATGAACCTCGTGGGAAATTTAGTGTGTATGTCCATTTTGGCTTGGGAAGGGAGCCGAGTTTGGGACAATATGCAATGGATGATTTTAGATTTCTGAAGTGATGATTGACGTTTTTCTCGTAAAGGGCTTTAGACTTTCAGCAACCACGTCGCCAAATCGCGGCCGTCAGTTTGTCCCATCCATTCGGTCTGCCATAATTGAATTTGGATGTGCTCGATGCGGTCATAGTCAGACCAGAATCCCTCACGTTGGCACCGCTAGCAACCCTCAGAGCGCCTCTCGGGGTGGGCATACAGAGCCATCTTCCACATGTAACTTTTAGGTATCTTCAGATGTTCCTGACCACCAGTTGATTTGGGGATTTGCAATCCCAGTTCCAAATGGAGCAATGACGTTGTCATCCCCGCCAGTCACTTGTCGACATTCCGCAGCAGCAGCGGGCGACAGAAGACTTGCGCGGCTGCACGGCGGAGCTTGCCCATAAACGGGAGCAAGGTGCAGGTACAGCACTAACTGCAGTCCACTGCATCCTGTTGCGTTGGAACACTGTGCCAAGTTCTGTTGGTCGGGCAACCTACTACATACTTAGGTAGGTAGGTAGGTAGAGGTACCTAAGGTAAGTAGCCCCAGGGTAGCTTAGTTCTGTTCTCCTCTATCGGTAGCAGGTACGTTGCTACCAAAGAAGATGCCGTGACCCTAGAGGTACCTCTAGCCCAGATGTCTCCTTCGCGTGGTCGCTAGCTGCCCGCACATGCCCAGCCTGTCCAATTCAATTCCAGCAGATGACGAGGACCATAGAGGTAACCACCATCGTCCCTGTCATCGTTTCAATGCCCTGCTACCATCTACGCACCTACAGGTAGACACCTTCAACTCTGTCCTGTCAAGCAGTTGATAGTGAAACCTATGAAAGACGAAGGAACAGGCTGAAAGGAAAGAGAAGTCGCGTATCTCTTAGATTAATCTTACGTTGCTCATTCAAACTTCAGTCACAATGTCAATGAGAAGGGATAAACATTATTGTTTCTAGAAGTCGGGTTTCCCTAAAACTCACCTCCAGGTAGGCTTCCCGCGTTGTTCCTGTTGGCCAGATTCGGAGACACCCATTATCACGACTCGACGACCCAAAGACCCATCTAGAACACCTCTTGACAAGATTTTCAGGCACCACCTTTGACCGATTTTCTTTCTTGATTATTGCTTGACAACTAATATTTCGGAGGTCGGCGATCCAATCGACAGCATCCTCTCCAGCGAGTCACCGTGCTTACTAACGACAAAAATATAAGCGCTACGTGGTTGAATCAGAAGTGGGAGTTGCACCTATGAGACACATTCAGATACCAGGCCAGGCAGTTTGATCAAACACTGATACCGATTATCTCTGCCGCAACCCAGGGCCGGTACTATCACGGTCGGACTGCAAGCTTCGAAAGATATCCGGGGCGCTGCTACCACATATGACGACAAGTGACGCGAATGAAGATCGACCCTGGTGTATCTGTGTGTATGTTGGATTCCTCGAACTGACACCTATTGAATTAGAGGATCCCCTTTTTTATTTCTCCAATAGATGCGATTTCGAACCACAGAATGGACATCCGGTCACCGTCTTAGGGGCGATAAACCCACAAAATGGCCCCATTGCTTCAACATGCATACGGCGCATATACGTCAGGCGTGCACCGGTATCCGTGGCCGAGTGCCGTACAGACAGATGACAGTGACGGCATTCCGCTTTCGTCCGGACTACCTAGAAACATATCGGACGAAGGAACTGCCCTTTCCTACAGTGTTCTACCATAGTCCACTAAAGTTGAAAGCCAGACTGGCACAATCAAGCCCTGCGTGCGTAAAAATTAGAGAGGCAATAAACACAAAAATTGGACAAAGACCAAAACATGAGCATGGAGCCGGTAAAGGCGAGGCTTACTCTAAGGAAATTCGCCTCGACACCACTTTATCAAAACAGACATCTCATCACTGGTGAGTGGGCGACCCATAGATGAGGTCAGCAAAGCGACATCAACGATGACAAAACGCGGATGCCGGTTGTCGGATGGGGGAACTGCACCAGCGCAGATCATTGCTTCCATCCACTTAGTTTGACATCAAACTTGTGCAGACATTGATTGACCCCTTGTTTCCCGGCATCCTCTCCTTTGCGCTTCTGCCCCGGTCTATTACTATGTACATCCCGAGTTGACGTTTCTCTGATCTTCCTTTTCCAAACCCCAACCGTCCCCTGGCTTCGGCGTTTGGCGTACAATTACACACCCTCGTAGTTGATCTTGACCATTTCCATTGTTGTCGCACTGGACTGGCCAAACTGCGATTGCTTCACCTGATACCTGCTCAAGCCTTGAAAGAGGTATAGAGACATTGCTGTGTACTGTGTACGTAATCTCAAGGCGAAGAGAAAAAGGCCTACCAAATAAAATTGTGCAAGTTTCCTCGGTTGCCAAGAAGCCGAACCTGATCGTCATGTCAGATTTCCAACAGCGATCACCCCGACGCGACATCAATAGGACAGACCCCGCCAGCCGCCAGTGGCCACCACTTTATACTGTGCGAGTCTACTGTGTACTCAGTTAGTATATAGGACGTGTGTACATTGCGAAAGAGCAGAAACAAAGTGGGAGGCACGCCCGACAAGTGTACACTACTGCTGCAATTAGTCGCAACAAAATCCAAAAGTCCGACAGTTGTGTCGGTCCAATCCCGACATTCGACTTGCCCAGAACAATTTTCCGAGGCTAGCTACACGGAACCTAGCCTCATTCAGCTTCGATCTGGACGCCGTCACAGCGCCTCGGAAGAGACCCAGATACTAGATCTGAGCCGTACGGAAACCGCCAACGACATCACCGTACAGGGACGCTCTCTGTACAATCCCCACCTGCGCGTCAGAGGCTCCACAGCCGCCAGTTAGGTTGACAAGGAAAACAGGTGGGCAATTGTACCTTGTACCTCTTGCTCGTTTTTGACAGCCTGTTGATGATTGTACCCCCCCCCTCCCCTTTGTACAGTCCACCACATCCACACCAGGGGACACCACCACGATCTTCAGTTCTCACACACCAACACACACTGCACACCTAACGCACACACTCATTCTGCCAAACTCCCTCGGTCCCCTTCCTGTCAGGTCCGGTTTTTTTTTTTCTACCCCAAGTTCTCTTCTTCTGTGAAAGTGAGTGGTCCCTTCGTCTCTTCTCCCCCTTCGTAACCTCTTCAACTTTGTTTTAACACAGTCCTACTTGTACACAGTAAGATACTCGGCGGCCCTCCGAAACCACAATCTCGACCGTCCAAAAGGAGTTATCCACACCGTCTACAGCACTACACCCGTATGTAGACACTGCAGACTGCCTATACTACATGCTGCTCTTGTGTCTCACGCTTCCTGCTGCTGCGATAACAAGTCGACCTTCCCAGCTTCCCCACTGTTGAGACAGGGTAGTCGCTTCCAGGTTCCTGTCAATTTCACGCCCCTCCACCGGTACATCGTCTTTCCGCGCAGAGTCCACCTTGACGACGAAACACGGGCGCTTTCAATTGTACACGACCGACCAGCTCCTCTCCACGAGTCTCCTCCACGGTCTCCTCCCCTGTGCCTACGTAAGGTCCCTCCTTGTCCGCTCTCGCTCCATAACCTCGCATCGAAACCTACAGCCTTTCCTGTCGACTTGCGCTCCAGGGCTGGCCCGACGCGACTCTGTCTCTGCGACATATATCGAGCCACTTGCGTCGCTTCTCCTTCTCCCACGTACCCTGCTGGGACAATAACGACTGCAAGGAACTTTACCACAACACGCCACTAGGTATAAATACCTACCTCCTTATCCTAACTTTACACCGTCGGTCTCGGCGACAGAAGATGGGAGCCTTATGAAACGATCGAGGGAAGAATTATTTGTGGCGGAACGTAGGACGAGACCGCGAATCTTCGTCGCCAACATAGCCATGTCGCCAAATCAAGGAACCAACACCCACTCTACCACAACCACCACCACCACATACCTCACCATGAAAACACCAGGGGCCCATTCGCGATCGAATTCCCAGTCCTACTTCACCCATAAGCCTACCGGCACGCCGCTAGCCTCGCCGCGCATCTACTCGGTCGGCCAGCCATACCCTCCCCGGCTCTCTCCTGATACGTCCGCCCAACAACAACCCGCCCAACAGCAAGATGCTCGTATCCCGAGTCCTAATTACTTTGGCCTCTCGGTCGATCATGCCGCTGACCCGCTGGAGTCGGCCGTATTGCCCAGCGAAAACTGGAGCTCGCCGTCTTCCTCGGTAAAATCATTCGCCGCAGCAATGCCGAAGCCATTGCCCCTAGATGCGAACCCCGACTTCGAGGCCTTCAGGAGGCAAATAGATGCCAACCTCGGGAGGTCGTCCTTCAGCTTGTCGGGGTCGCACTTCAATATCACCATGGGCCCGCGCACGCCCGGTCCCACAACACCTTTTGGCTTCAAGCGGCCAGAGCCGCCCAAGCGACATAATCTGAGCCTCGGTGCCGAGCCCACGAGCGGCCACTTCCCCAGGCTGTCTGGGTTGGGCTTGCATGGCCCCCTCCCCAACCTCAAGTTGAACAAGGACATTCAAAACCTCAAGCAACCAGGTGACAATGATAGTATACATGACTCCGCCTATATCTCCGGGGACTCGAAGCGGAGCTCCCAAGCCTCCCTCAATGCCCCTTCCTTCTTCAACATGGGCAGGCACGAATCACCAGCGCAGATCGATCTCCCTTTTGGAACCCCCGTAGAATGGGGTAAGTCGGCTCATTCCATCTCCCGAGTCGATGACCGCCACCCGCGTTTGTCAATGTCATCAACAAAGGCCGAGCCACCAATGCAGCAACGAAGAGCGGATACTGTCCCTCCCAACCCCAAGGCAGCAGCGAACAACGATGGGCCGGCTATGATAGACCCGGCACGGCTGAAGGACCTTATGGACCAGGGGGATGATTCAGACCTCTTGTTGCTCGATATCCGCGTCTCGCCCCAGTATGCCGCATCTAGGGTAAAGGGTGCTTTGAACCTGTGCATTCCCACGACACTGTTGAAGCGAGCAACATTCAACTTGCAGAAACTCCAGCAAACGTTCTCGGCAAACCAGGATCAGGACAGGTTCTCTAACTGGCGTAACGCAAAGTACCTGGTCGTCTACGATGCCTCGTCGTCCGACAAGCGTGATGCCATGGGCGCAATCAACATGATCAAGAAGTTCACGAATGAGGGCTTCTCTGGTTCAGCAAATATCCTGCGTGGAGGATTCAGGGCCTTCGCCGAAACATACCCAGACCTGATTGACCGTGGGTCGTCCGCTACCACAACGCCAGCCCTGTCTCTAGGGCAGGGTGCCGGAGCTGGTCTTGGGGGAGCCAACATTCCGCCTGTCATTGGCGGTGTGATGTTGCCCACCACAGGGAAGGGCCCTAACCCCTTCTTTAACAACATCCGACAAAACCAAGACCTGGTCGATGGAGTTGGGCAGATGGACATTGGTCTTCCTCAAGAGCTCAACAAGGAGACTCTACCAAAGTGGCTAAAGGAAGCAGCCGACAGTGGTGACCATGGAAAGAAGGTGTCAGAGAAGTTTCTTCACATTGAGTTGACGGAACAGTCTCGGATGAAGGACGCTTACTCCGTTTTCACTCCTGGTGCCAACGGGGACCCTAAACACCACGGAAAGGTGCAGCTGTCCGGAATTGAAAAGGGTGGAAAGAACAGGTATAAGGACATTCTACCGTTCGAGCACGCGCGGGTAAGGCTTCAGGGCCGCCAAGAGGGCGAATGCGATTATGTCAATGCCAGCCACATTCAAGCAAGCCGTAGCAAAAAGCGATACATCGCTAGCCAGGGCCCGCTACCGGCCACTTTTGAGGTATGTCGCCACCTGACAAGGAACAATCCAGTAGGAGTGCACCAGCGGCTGACTGAGGGTCTTTACAGGATTTCTGGTCTGTCATTTGGGATCAGGACGTCCGTGTTATCGTCATGTTGACGGCCGAATCCGAGGGAGGGCAACTTAAGTGCCATCCTTACTGGAAAGGCAAAGACTTTGGTCCCATCAAGCTCCGAGTACTGTCAGAAAAGAAGGTATCTTTGGATATTGACAAGCACAGACAAGGCTCTCAAGCTGGCGTACCAACCACGTCAGAATCCGCCTCTGCGACAACAAACGCGTCTTCCGGGGATGCTACGCAAGGAGCTTTCCCTTGGAATCCAACCCAAGCTGGGGGGGCGGACGGTGGCCGCCGTCGTGCCAACACCACAACGGTGCAGCCAAACCTCGACGGCACGCAGCAGCCCGCTACGGCTTTGGCAGAGACACCATATGTCATTATTCGCAAGTTTGCCCTGAGCCATTCCGCTTACCCCTTCCTCCCGATGCGCGAGATCACCCAACTCCACTACCCCTCTTGGCCAGACTTTGGAGCGCCGGCTCAACCGAGCCACCTCCTCGCCCTGGTCGAGCTCGCCAACATCATGCAACGAGCGGCACCCGCCCTCGAAAGCTCTGGCGCTGCCCCCTTCGACGAGATACAAGTCGATGTTAAGAACTTTACCAACCGTCTTAAGCGCGGCGACTCGCTACCCCTCGACCCGGGCGACGCACCCGAACCGAACGACCACGCGCGCCCCATGCTGGTGCACTGCTCTGCAGGCTGTGGCCGGACAGGTGCCTTCTGCACGGTTGACAGCGTGATCGACATGCTCAAGCGTCAACGGATGCGCAAAACGCAGAAGGCGGATCGGCGGATCGATGACCGCTTCGGCGGGCGACGGATCTCGGAGACTGACGGAGAGGTCGATGGGGTCATGGACGGAGTCAAACCTTTTAAGCGACAGGCAACCGAGAATAACCGCGACCAGGACGGCGACATCTCCATGGGTGGACAGAAGGGTCTTCGATTCGATCATGGGCCCGGTGGTTCAGGAGGGATGAAGAACCTGGATGAGAGCAAGGGATTCGACTTCGGCGTCCCACCAGCACCGACCGAACCCAAGGACGACCAAGGAATCGACACCACCTGGCTCGACGACGACGGCCTCGACCTCATCGCCAAGACCGTTGAGGACTTCCGCGGTCAGCGACTGAGCATGGTTCAGAGTCTAAGGCAGTTTGTTCTCTGCTACGAGACGGTCATTGAGTGGATCTGGCGGCTGGAGGAGCGCTCTCATCATACCAGCGCTGGTGGTGCTGGTGGGAGGAGAGGAAGTAGCAGAGTTAGGACTGGAAGCTTGGCGCTGTGAGACCATCATGGGCCGGTGTTTGAGAGGATAACGGATTGCACAGAAGCTGGTCAGGTCAGTTGCGCATCGGGCCTATTTCTTTAAAGGGGCTTCGGTTCAGGCGAATGGACAGATCGAAAAGAAAAGAGCATTTTGGCATGGAAAGGGAAATGGAATGGATACGGAACGGGATGGAAGGGATGGGATAGATACATTATTTGGTTCTTGATCCGTTGTTGTCTCCACTTACAACACGACGGTGGATCACACAGCGACAGAAGGAGAGTGAAAGAGAGAAAGGACTGATGGACGGATGAACCGAGGAAGTAACTAAGGGACGAAGAGATGAAGATGGCATGATGATCAAAGTCTTCCTTTACTGCTACTACTACTACTACTACTATTACTACTACTAGCATATTTTTGGTTTGGCTGGCCGGTTGGTGGGAGAGCGTGTCATCATCTTGTTACGTTGTTGTTGTTCCCTTTTTTCTTCTTTTTTTTTTCTTTTCTTTTTTTTCTAGGGGGTGTGTTGTTGTTGTTGTTATTCGTCGTTGTCGTCGTTTGTCTACGTATACCTCAAGTTACCCAGTACCCCCCCTCTGCACTTTTCCTGTCGTTTTCCATTGTTACCATTACCATGAACCATTTGCCATCACCTGAACTTCGCGCAAAGTCTTACTGCTACTGGTGTTTTGAGTACTTGAAAACTTGCATGTGAATAGGCGTCTCGTTTTGGTCTGTGGTTTGTAAGTTAGTTCTTGCATGGCGCGGTTTCGTGACAGTTTGGTTGGGACTTTGTGTTAGTAGCTTGGAGCACAATATCCTTTCGTCTCGGTATTTGTCTTTCGTGCCGGCGCGGCTTTACAGGTTGTAGTTGTCCCTGAAAGACAGAAACTGTAGTTCAAGATACTATGAGGGTTCGCCACTTCCTCACGGATAGCCACGCAGCTTACAAATAACTTTTTGACATTCGAGAGACCTAAGCCATTCCAATGAACAATTTACTCTCAGTTTCGGCATGATATTCGTCTTTGTGTGACAGTTATTCTGAGATCCGGTAATGACCCAGTGCAGAGTCAAGGCAGCACCAGGGCCCAGGATACGTCTGAGAGTCAACGGTAATGTTTGCATCTCCATTCTGTTGATTCCGCTAGAGGAGGGTAGGTATACTCCGTTATTGCCAAGGGCCGCTTTCAATCTTGCAATGTACAAAACGATACACTTTCAGACAGCCTATGCAGACGACAAAGGCAGTCTTGAGAATGATGCACCAAGGAAAGTAAAAAAAGCCGAGTCAGTTACTTTTCCCATAAAAGTACTATTGTATTCTGTATCATATCGTTGCACGCATGAACCACCACTCTTCCTTCACTTTTCCCTTTCCCGGGCAAACTTAACGCCACAATTTGGCCAACGACACCTCCTTATCATCATGCTTATTCAGAATCTTGGCCGTGGCCAGCTCAAAGTCCTCCTGTGTGACATGCACGCGCCTCTCGCGGAGGGCGTACATGCCGGCCTCGGTACAGACACCCTTGAGTTCGGCGCCCGAGCACCCGTTCATCTTCTCGGCGATCTTGGTCAGGTTGATGCCGCGCGTCAGGTTCATCTTGCGGCTGTGAATGCGCAGAATGTCGGCACGGGCCTCGACGCTCGGCGGGGGGAACTCGATCTTGCGGTCGATGCGGCCAGGGCGCAAGAGGGCGGGGTCGAGAATGTCGAGACGGTTGGTGGCCATGATGACCTTGATGTTCTTGGTGGGCTCGAAACCGTCAAGCTGGTTGAGGAGCTCGAGCATGGTGCGCTGGACTTCGGAGTCACCGCCAGACGAACCCTCGACACGCGAAGAGCCGATGGAGTCGATCTCGTCCATAAAGATGATGGAGGGCGCGTGCTCGCGCGCCATGACGAACAGCTCGCGCACCATGCGGGAACCCTCGCCAATGTACTTTTGCACGAGCTCGGAACCCGAGACACGGATGAACTTGCAGTCGGTGTGGTGGGCAACAGCACGGGCGAGCAGTGTCTTGCCGGTACCGGGAGGGCCGTAGAGCAGGACACCCTTTGGTTGGGCGATACCTAGCGACTCGAACAGCTCGGGGTGCTTGAGGCCGAGCTCGATCACCTCCTTGATCTCCTTGATTTGCTGGTCCAGACCACCAATCATGTCGTAAGTACTGTCGGGCACCTTTTCGACCATCATGAGGGACACGAGCGGGTCTACTGAGGAGGGAAGCATCTTTTCGAGCTTGTACGAGTCTGAGAGAAGGGTGACGCGCTTGCCGACAGTGAGCTTGGTGATGTCGACATTGTCGGATACATCGACAACTGGTGGGCGGCGGGGCAATAGGTCAGTTACTTCCATCTGTTTATCCATCCGTAACACAGGACACTGCAGAAGGAGGCGGAGTGCGCATACCATATTTGCCCTCAGGGTGTACCTTGACGAGGACCTTCTTTGTGCTCATAACCTTGACGACCTCACCCACATAGGACCCGGGCTGTTGTAGCAGACCGAGCTCTTCCCTGAGCAGGCGCACACGCGAGTTGTAGTCATTTCGTTGCGCTTCGAGACGGCGGAGGACGGCTTGGCCCTTGAGGATCTCGAGCTTCATGGCCTCGATCTTGTTGTGATAATAGTTGTCGAGCGCCATGGTGACGGCGTGTGGGGGAGAGACGGAGCTCTCGCGGGGGGGATTAGTGATTGTTTGTTTTGTGTAAGGTGGGATAGGTTTGCCCTTGGGTGCGTGGTCGGTATTCGGTCGTCACTTGCTCGTCGAGATTAGGTGTGTGTTGCGATGCGCAGACACTCGATCGTGGTGGCGGGTTGCGGTGGTGATGTTTACTGGTGGTGAAATGGCCGGGTGGAGGTGGTGATGGCGTTCGGTGACCTTCTGAAGACAGGCAGCTTCAGGTCAACGCAACACACCCGGCCGGCTCCCAATGCCAAGACTCAGCTCCCGCCTCTAGACTAGGTATCAGAGCGCCATGTCAGGATAAGGTACGTACCGATAGACGGCAGAGGCTCGTGCTTTGCTGGGTTACACGTGACCTCGTGGCTCCAGACTTGCAGGGGAGCTTTGAAGGTGAAGCCCTTTGAAATGATGTCACTTCCAGCTGCGTCGTCGACTCCACATGCTGCAGTGCTGGGCTGGGTTGTGGCATCCAACGAATCTCGCCAAACTCCAAAAAAGTCCTCGTCATGCTCCGGTGCGGTCCCGTCACGATTGCTACCAGCACGCATACTCACCTTTCCCTGCAGATGCTCGTCATCCAGCATAAAAGATGACTCGCTCTGCACTGCGTCTTTCAAATTTACTTCTGTCTTCTAATGTTCCCATTCTCATTCCTCCCACTCAAGCTTTCCAACAGCCCGTCAGCCTGTATAGATGGGACTGAAGGGCGCACTGCACATGTCTCGTTTCCATGAGCCTGCCCGTCGTTCAGCTCCATACCCCTTCTTCAGGCGGTTACCTAGAGAGCTAAGGTATCAGGTGGCTTCTTATATGAGCGATCCTTAACTTTTCCCTCCAGTGTGACTGAGATAGTTCTTGCCTTCTCCAAGCCGAAATAACATTGATCACCATTTTTGTGGTTCAAAGCCAAGGTTGAGTCTCAGTGAATGAGAGAGAGGACAATACCGTCCTGAAGTGCGTACGTATACCCGTTTGCATACCCGTCGCAGTCATGCTACACCGTGCTTTCTCTTACCCGCCGCGGTTCACATGGTGATACTCATTATATACCTCTAATGAGAAGTGAGGCAGCCCTGCGATATCAGCTCAGCTGATGGAGTGGGGGTTGTCAAACCGGCAAGCCAAGCAGGGCACCGAAGCCCGGCCACCCTGGTGGTGAACCTAGGATCAGTCATCCATCACGGTCCATGATGACCTGAGACCAGCGTCGACCGGGAGAGACCATTTGCCTTCCCTCACCCTCCACATCATGGTGGCAGCGAACCGTGCTGGCCAACCGGTGCACGCGGCGGTCACATCAAATCCTCCCTCGCGCCGTTCCCGTCTTGGTTCCAGATGCGCCAATACTTGCCAAGGATCGAGGCATCATGATGGCGACTTGGATCCAAGTCATTCAGCGTGACTGATACTGTGCTGCAGCAGAGTGTCGCTAGAGATGGGAGGAATAACATGGTTATGTGCTTATAATAGGAAAAGTGGCAAGAACTACTATTGTACAACTCGGTGTTTTGGGTCCTCGAGGTTGATAAAAACCATAAAAAAAGCCGATGATGGGATCATGCTGGAAAGAGGAAGGCCGTTATCTGGTGCAACGTCCGTGCTCGAGCTAAAGAGTGCTTTGTGCAGTTCAGTTGCAGCGACAGCTACAGTAGCAACGGCACCTTCCGTAAGGCAATGTCATTTCAGGCGTCATGCCTGCTGGTTCACCACTCCCGTCTCAGTGTTAATGCTTGGGATCCAAACTCTTCCCCAAATTTCCATCTCTGGGAAAGAAAAAGTTGACGGTCATCCGACTCTTTCCTAGAGGTACCATTGTCTTCAGCATCCTTCTTTTCTAGAGGTAGTCTTCGCGACTCTTCAGGCTTGACCCAAGACTCTTGTCCCCAGTTGGCATGGCCTCTCAGCCCGATACCTTACAGAAGAGTCTCTAGCGTCCTTCTGTCTTTGCGCCCAGCCCAACACGCCACTGCAGTGTTTCGTCAAGTGTTGTTTACAGTCCTGTCTTCATCATCGTTTTTCAGGGTAGGGGTACAGCTAGCCATAGCAGCTGCCTACAAGGAAGACGCTGCACAGTACGGGCAGGGGGGGGGGCCAGAAGGTCGATCTTTTCCTGCTTCACACTGACAAGCGCTGGAACAAACCTCCATCCAGTCCACCACCATCAAGCTTCGGTCGGCCCTTCGCAACAGTTGCAACCTACTCGGGTCATCAGGCCACGCCCAGTAAGAGTTGTCGCATTTAGTTTGGCACCTCATTCTGATCATCCGGCCTTTTCGTCTTTCTCATAAGTACCTACCTAACGAACCTCATCCTGTCCACCGTCGCGGCCGCCAGTTCGAGTCTGGAGGAAATCCGATCATGAACGCTTCCTTCTCCATTGCTTGGTGCAACTGTCGTGCCGTACCAACTACCCATCTCGCCTCACTGCTCACCGAGTCACACTGATCCAGACTCAACATCCTTTTCCTAGGTAGCTTACATAGTTGTCGCCAACTCCTGCGCTGCGACAGATACTCGCCAAACACCTATCTATCTCTACCTTCGGCTGCCGCTGAACACTGTTCCAAGGTCGGATCCTTCAAAGGACGGACGGAATCAGCATCCTCAACACCACAACCCTACGTGCATCGCTTGACCCTGGTATACTTCCTAGCACCAGAAAACAAAAACCCCTCCCAAAAAAAAATAGAGAAAGCACCATTGCTGTTGATCACCGTCCACCGGCATTGCTATCCACACGCAACCCCTCACTATGGGTCCTCCCTCCCAGACGGGCGACGAAGACCGTCCCGATCCGTCCCCCACCAACACGCGCCGAAATTCGCGCCTGGATCTCATCAACACCACCGAAACCCGACATGATGATGCCGGCATGAACCCTCCGGATACCAGCTATCACTCCACCGACATTGTGCGGAGGTTGCCAGACCCTATGGGCCCTGCTGGTGGGTACTTCTTCTGCCATCTTCCCCTACTGCCCAGCTTGGCATGCTTGTGTATTCTTGGACTTCCTTGGCTTGTATCGTACCCTCGCTGACCATACCATGCACATGTTTAGGTGCCGCCAACATGGCCAATGTGGAGGGTGCGCCTTCTATCACTGCCTCCGAACGTGAACGTACCGTTTCCCGCGCTTCCCAGACGGGTATCCCACGTTCGCCCATGGTAGGTCCCGATCGCGGACGACCACGACCTCGCAAGCCCCCAATGGCGCGACGCACTTCGTCCAATGCCCAAGCCCCCCACCGCGGCGAGGTCTTCTCCGTCGATGACGACATAACCGAAGTCGAGGCTGATGCTGCTGAGCGCCAGAAGAGCTACAGTGGCTCTACAGCCCGCAGGCGAAACCTACTTCCTGCTCCCTTATCCCGAGTACACTCGATTTTAGATGAGGACGGAGCAAACGATAGCCGGGACCGGGATACTCCGGACGTCATTGAAGAAGTCGACACCCCGGGCCAGGAAGGGGAACTCAACCTGCCTCCTCCAGCCGAAGAAGACAGTGCCGAGGGTGAGACCCCGGTTGAGGATGATGATGGCGATATCAGTGATGCCGAAAGCTTCACGCTGAAGGACCGCCAGCAGGCAATCAACGAAACACATCCCTTTGGCATCAGGCTATGGAAACCGGCCCTGTACAAAAAGCACCGTTCGGTTCAAAAGACGGCCGAGGGAGATATCCACTCGTCCCCTGGAGGACATGTCAGTCGATGGCTGCTCTTCTTTAACATCATGTGGACCTTGGCCTTTGGCTGGTGGATGTCTCTCATTGCTTACACGGGTGCCATTGTCTGCTTCGTCTTTGCTGCTGCTCCTAGTGGTCGAGAGTACGGACGAGTCCTCTGGGGACTTGCTGGTTACCTGTTCTATCCATTCGGCAAGTTCATCCGCTTGGAGCAACAGGATGGCTATCTGGACGAAGATCAGGACGAAGGCAGAAGCATCAGCGAGTACGAGCAGTGGCAGAGCGGTGACCTCGAGGATGGCCGCCTATTCTTTGGCCCCGAGCGAGACCGATCGATTATTGGCCACTCTCGCCGGAGTCTGGACTCGGAACCCGACGAGACGGAGAGCCTGCTCGGCCGCGGTCGTGGCCACGGTTCCGATTCTGACCTTCCTCGTATGAAGAGAAGACTGTTTGGCCGTGGCCAATGGAATGTTGGGCGAGTCATCTACTTCCTTTTCTTCTACACCATGATCATGCCCTCGCTCTTCATTGTATCCGCAATCTGTTGGTTTTTGGTGTTCTGGATCCCCATGGGCAAGGTTACCATGCTTCTCATCGACCATCTTCGACGCCATCCGCTGGCCCTGTGGTTCGAATCCGACATCTCGACCGCCCGGGCCTCCACCACGCCGCACTCTTCCATCCTCATTTGCACGTATCGTGCTGTCGGTATAAAGTACTGGAAGTATACCATCGACGGAACCAACATTTTCCTGGTCAACATGGTGGCTATCGTCATATTTGTCATCTTTGACTGGATTGTCCTTGAAGGGGTTTTGGAGATCCACAACTTCTTTACCTCGCCTGCCTTTTTGTTCGTCACTGGCCTCTTGTCCATCATCCCTCTTGCCTACTTCATTGGTCAAGCTGTTGCTTCCATCTCCGCACAGTCGTCGATGGGCTTCGGTGCTGCCATCAATGCATTCTTCTCTACCATTGTGGAGGTCTTCCTCTACTGCGTTGCTCTGCAGCAAGGTAAAGCACAACTGGTCGAAGGAAGCATTATGGGGAGTATCTTCGCCGGTATTCTTTTCCTTCCGGGTATCTCAATGTGCTGCGGCGCCATCAAGCGCAAGACACAACGCTTCAACGCCAAGTCAGCCGGCGTGACATCGACCATGCTGCTATTCGCCGTTATTGGCGCTTTTGGTCCGACTTTGTTCTACCAGATTTACGGAACCCACGAGCTTACCTGCCAGGACTGTCTTTACTTTGATCATCCCAGGGGCTCAGTGAGAGATTGCCGTCGCTGTTACTTCTCCCAGACCCCTGCTATGAATGATCGATTTTACCTGGAGGCAGTCCGTCCCTACTGCTACATTGCTGCTGGCATGCTGTTCTTATCATATATCATCGGTCTTTGGTTCACGCTTCGCACCCATGCCGCCGTTATCTGGAATACCGATGCGGATGAGAAGAAGCATGAGGAGACTACAGGCCGTAACAGTGCCCGACCTTCCGCGGTGCATACCTCACTCGGTGACACCACGGGGGCTGATGTTCGTGATTCGCATCTCTACAAGCGCATTCTCGGCCAATCCCTCCGCCAAGTCGGTCACCAGGGCCCCTCGGACGAGCCGCAACGGCCAGGTTCGTCTGTCTCGGGAGGGGCCAAAGCTAACGGCACTCCCCATATGGTCCCTCCCAAATCGACTGGATACGGTGCCACCGACAGTCAACATTCATCCACCATTCTTAACATACCCGGCTTCTCTGATGCTGAGAATAACAATCTCGTGCACCAGGTCGCTGAAATTGCAGCTACTGCTGCCACCGTGGCAGCCAGGAACTATTCCAGTCAAAGACGTACCTCGCACCTCGGAGGCTCTTCGATCACAGGTCAACAACAGTCGGCCC